AGTGAACCTGGGATGAGACTCTATCCTAGAATAATAGTACTTTTTAACTTGGACAGTTGGCGTCGGTGATCGGAAAATGCGGTATCGTATCCCTCCGCAATTTTTGATGGGGTAAGTTTCTATCGAGGATAAATAAAGAAGCGCTTGTCAAGAAGACAGGCGTTTATCTTTCAGGAAGATCGGAGAAAATCGCATGTATAGGCGAAGCAAACAGCGTCCGCGAGAATAAAAAATGTATCAGCTGAGAGGAACGAGAAGAGTAAGCGAGTAGCAGCAGGGGAAGGGGGAGGATACGTATACGGGAGAAAGAGATATATCTCTCTTGTCTTTCCTATTCTGAAATTTCGCAACATCCATCGTCTTATCGTCTCCGCGGTTACGTGAACTCCTCGCGTTCTGGGACTTCGCTTCGCCGAGGAATTTTATCTGACAACTACTTTGGCGAATGGCAAAAGAGAGGGAAAGTCGGGTGCGCGGAAAACTGGCAGATAGGGAAAGAAATAGTTGCAAAGAGAGGAGAAGAGGTGGAGCAGAAGCGGGAGGTGGAGGAGGAGGAGGAAGTGGTGGAAAAGGAGAAGCGAAAGAAGTAGTCAGGAAAAAGAAAGGCGGACGGTGAAGTTCGAAATGTGACGCGGAACGTGCGACAAGCCCGCGTTCAGTCGTATACTCGGGTGTACGACGGCCCTCAACCCTCTCCACTCTCTCCGCCCGCGTTTCTCCCCTCTTCCTCACTCCTTTCTCCCTTCGCCCTTTGTTGCGCTCGAGATGCAAGAGCCGCCCTAGCGAGCGCGATCTCGTTAACGGGATATGCGCCGTGCGCGCCGTTCGTCGCGTCGTGCAACGTCCCGCCTTCTGGTTCCCAGCACCGAGATCAAAGCGAGTCGCGGGCCTGTCGCGACGAACAAACGGAGCTTTTCGAGGATGCCGGCCGTGGTATTCGCTTAATTGTATACTTGTACTTCTCTCTCTCTCTCTCTCTCTTCGTATGAGGGGGCCCGCGCGCTCACTCGCGTCGCCCGCGGCGCAAACCGCTTTATCGTCGTAGACTGTATTCGTCGCCGCGACCAAAATTATCATATCGTCGCCGACGGTAATTCGCGAGCGATTCGCGCACGCGACGATTATCAACCACCTCTCGTCGCGCGATTACAAATCGTTTCGCTTTCCATCCTTAAATCTGAAGCCAACACGCTTCCTGTTACTTAGAAGGAACTTCTTCATCTTCTGACGTTAGAAAGTATAGATGTACGAACGAGAATTCTCTTTCCCGTTTTCTTGAGAAACGTTAGGTATAACGCTCATGAAAAGATTTACAAAATCATATGTAGTCGCCAAGATAAAACGCGTAAAAATATTTGCATTTCGACTGAACGAGGTATAAAAAAAAAAATCTGTCCCTGTACAGGTTGCATACGTTTAACGCTAAACGTAAAACCAAGAGCGTAAATCTTTCAGGAGACAGACAGACATTTATAAATATTGTATGAAAGCATGAAAATAGAAAAAATGGAAATCCTAAAGTTTTGTGGTGACGCTTGAAATCGCGAACTCTTGTCCCGAGAATATACCCACTTTGTAATAGAGAACTGAAGCAAAATTGAGAAAAATAAATTTAAAGACTCCAAATATAAATATATAAATTCGTTCCCAAGTATAATACCAATTATAAGGTGTTTAAAAATAAACATTATAACTTCCTACCTTTACATTTTTACGGAAAAAACGCTCGGAATTTACGTGACTTTCATACACCCAACGACGTCGAGTATCCATTTCATCGATAGTTATATGTACGTTGTAAAATCTTCCGGCAAACGGCCTTTACGATACTCGAAAGTAATCACGGCGGAACGAGCGGCGTGTTTCGCTTAAATTTGCTAATATTAAGATAAGGCAGCGGCGTCAGACGACGCGGGGGAAAAAAGGGGCAGGCGACAAATAGCGAGAGGGGAAACGTATATAAAAAGATAGGAGGCGCCGCGCGCGAAAGCACGAGCGAGATAACTAGGACAATGTGTTTATACGCTGTAAATTCGTCACTCGAGATCGTCTACGTCGCCGTCGTCGCCGTCGCCGTCGCCGTCGCTGTCGTCGTCGTCGTCGTTGTCGTCGTCACCCTCGCTAAGCTAAACGGAAACACGCTCCAACGTACGCGCCGTACGAGTATCTACGAGCGTTTCGTCGAGCGTTTCGGCTCGTTGCGTCGTCGGTCATGGGATCACGCGAGGCCCCCGTTAAAATTCGATCAGATAGTCTTGTTTGCGTCACGATTAGGCCGACCAAATTCCATCTTCGACCGCGGCGTTTTCTCTCCCCCTATAGCGCGACAATCACGAATTTACCGCCAGATGTCAACGTCGATGCGAGGGCGCATAAATTTCCAGTTAATCAACATCGTTCGACAAGAGCGAGCAAGAGCGAGCCCTCTGGCTCTTGCGAGAATGACCGCGTTAGGATTCTAAACCCGAATACGAAACCGGATCACATGTAAATCGGATAACTTTACTTGGAAATGACGCGTTTGTATTCGTGAATGTGAGAACAAAAACATGTGCGTATCCCCGGTTTATTCATCACCTCCGCGAGACGTGTCAACGACCGAAACGATGATGACCGACGAGGCTAACGATGAAATTTCGAAGACTCCAAAATCTGTTTGTCCGTCCACCGATTTATCCGCGCGATCAACATTTCGTTCTATTTCTTCAATATTGAGATGAATTGAATCTCGAGAGCGAAGTCAATCTCGAGAAGTGCATGACCCATGGTTTTATTTTTTTTCTTTCTTGAGATTCAATATTTCTTTTAACGCAATCGAAAAGAGTGACTTCTACACTTAACATCGCAAAAATTATTAACAGACAAATATTTTCGGAGCTATTTGAGATGTCAAACAGCGATTGCAGATATACATTTCCATGTTTTCATACAACAATCTAAAAGCAAACACTGGAGGCGAAGTTTACTTAAATTTATAGTCAAGCAAATATGAAAAAAATAAACATATGCGAGTTGCGTTTACGATTTAAAGTTGGCAGTCGGAGATTCGTAAAATTTCCTCGGGCGATCGTGCCGACAATGCGAATAATTTTCCAACGTCCACCTGACAATGATTTTAATACGACGGCATAATAATCTTTGTTAAAATTTACAAAATCTGTGACGCAATTTTCGAGAGATGCACGTAATAATTCAGAATTTTCTGTGCACTTCAGGTACTAATTCCACTGATATATATTTCGAACGCAAATTCTCAATATAGTTCTGCGCGTTACAATTTTTTTTTCTGTTTTAATATTGCAACGCGTAATACATTATTTCCCTTTAAACGATTACTTATGAATAAAAGCTGCGATTAAAGGAACGCGAGGAATTTTAGTACTGCGGAATACTATGAGTGGCGGAACGTTCGAATTAACGATAAGTAATGAGCGACTACGCCTCGAGAGAGTATTTATCACCCGGGGGAGCGCGTGCGTCTCTTGAAACAAAAAAAAGGTTGAGAGACCACTGATCCGGCGTCGCATCGATCGAACGCATTCTCCGGAGTGCGACGAAGGATTTACCGTCATTGGCGAGTCGCGGGGATCGTAGGACAATTTGTCCAGCGCTCGCTCGTACATTCTAGCGCGCCGAGTTTCTCTCCGGACGCAGCGGACCTTCGCGCGCATAATAGTTTTCCAGGAACGTATACACCGGAAGTTCGTCGTCCGTGAGAGACTCTACTTCAAGTTTCTCTCCTCTTCTCTCTCTCTCTCTCTCTCTTTCTCTTTCTCTCTGTTTCTACGTTCCCCTAACAACTATTTGCTTTCCAGGTGACCTTAATCTAGGAAATGGTCACTAAGAGGCATTCTCTCTACAAATGCAGCCAGAGAAGAGACATGGTTGAAACGAAGGCGAGAAACACACAGAGAAAGAGAGAAAGAGAGAGAGAGAGAGAGAGAGAGAGAAAGAGAGAGAGAGAGAAAGAGAGAGGAAGGGAAGATGAGAGAAATGGATGATACCAGCTGGGGATGAAAGGTGTGGAAATATTTTGCTTATATCGTTGTCCCGAGTGGTGCTGCACATATACGCGTGCATATCCTTTTGTCAACATACGCCGAGGCTGAGTAACCGCGATTCTCGAAATAAGTCCACGTACGCGGCAAAGTTACAAGTGGCTAAAAGATCGGAAATGCAATATGCTCCCTCTCTCTGCTGTAAAACGTACGCCGCGCCAAAATATTCGCTGCAGGTGGTTTACCTTACGTCGCGCACTGTGATTTCATCGGGGTGCTCGCATGTTTTCGAAGAAGAAAAAAATATAAAAAACCGATCCGCATGTAGATAACGCGCATACAATACTCTGAAATCTGAATTTATTATAGAAAAAGAGATACCTTTCCTCTAAATAGATAACCTCATTTAATACATATAACTTGCATCTATTCTGAATATTTCAGTTGAAAAACCGAAATCTGTGATATCGAAATCGCGTTAAATTCGTATCCGTCATTAAAATATTTATTTCTGCACCAAAGACGCGTCTCGCCCGCTTTCTCCGATTGAAGAAGAGATAAAAGAGGGAGATGCGTGAAATAAACGAAGGAATAACGCGCGATAACGTATTTTCACGCTTGTCGGCAAATGTGCAAATAGCGTGAAATTGACAGTCGGATGCTCCGCGGGGACGGAAATATGCGCTATCTCAAAACTCGAGGATACAACGGTGCACGTCTAGCGACGAGTTTCACAGAAGGGGGGAGGGGGAGGAGGAGAAGGGAGGGAGAGAGAGAGAGAGAGAGAAAGAGTAAAACCGCGCGACTATTCTCGTGGAAATTCGTTGTGGCCGCGAAAAGGCGGAATTCGTAACGACCATCGTCGCCGTCGCTGTCGCCGCCGCCAGCCACCGTCGCCGTCGTCGTCGTCGTCGTCGTCGTCGTTTCGTCGTCTTCGTCGGTATCATCGTCATTGTCTTCCCCGCCGGCACAAAACGTCGTTCAAGACCGAAGGTTTCTTACCTCCTTGCCGGGAGCTGAAGGCGCCGGTGCTTCCTGCGATGATTAGAAGCAGCAGCGGGCTTAATAAGACTCTCGAGGAAAGCGGCATCTTTCCTATGCTCCTCTACCGGCGCTTGCGCGACACGGGCTCCCCTTAGCCGACTTCCCTCATCACAGCCTCCCTGTAAGAATAAAAGATAAGGAGTGAGAAGACGGGCGGTTTCGTCAACGACGGAATGAGTCTCGCGAAGGGCGCGCCGCGCGTCCCCGTCAGACAGAATGACGGGCGGGGGAGGCCATCGAGCCGCGCGCGCGGCAGACGCGCATTTACCCGGGGTGATTTCGAGGACATTTCTGACACTCGTTATACGTCGTGATAAATATATCTCGGAACTGAAACGACCGGTGTCATTAGCGTGGTATATAGCTTAAAGTGGTAAAAAAGGTGTTCCCCTATATATAAACCGAATGCGCGCGTGCAGCAGGCCTTTTTAGTCGCGCGCGGCGTGATAATGGTTAATCGATAAAACATCTGAGATATCAGACGCGCGGACGGATCCGCCGCCAACCCACTTTTTTCCCCGGCGAACGTCTCTGCATGTGCGAAGTCACATTTCTGAATAGACATCACAGCTGTATAGAGAATTCTTGCGTTCAGCCGCGAAGCGGAACGAATTCGCCTCTCCCGCGCTCTCGCGCGGAAATGGCCAGCGGCCCGTGTTTGGCGTTGAATGGTGTACGAGAACACCGGGGTTATCTTTCGCCGCCGTGTTTCCCTCGGTTTACTTATTTTTCGCCCATTCTTACGTGCGGCCGCAAACAGCGGGAGAGAATACGAGAACGGAATAGACTTGGGGAACAACGGGACGAGAGAGAGAGAAAGAGAGAGAAAGAGAGAGACGTCGGGGGACCAGGGGACGCGGACGGCCCCCGGGGCGCGTTGGGTTTCCATTATGCTAAACCGCAAATGGAGTCCTGCGATCGAGTGTCTCTCTCTCCGCGGCCGCCGCCCCCGGAGGCGCACAATGGCGCACTGGTATAAGGCTCCTAAGGTGTAATGTTACGTAGAAATTAAATTCGCCCGCGTATTCTCCCGTGGTGCACGCGCTGCCCTATTCCGCCGCCGCCGCCGCCGCCGCCGCCAGCCGCAGCCGCCACCGCTCTACGCCGCCGTATCTCTTCTCTCCGCCCGCTCTGACACGCTGGTATCCCCGTCACCGCGAATTCGTCACCGTCGTCTCGCGCAGCGCGTCGCGACGCGAAAGTACCAGCCAGCGCGACACTCGAGCTTTTTACGTGGCGACGCATTTGCGGCAATGACTTTTGCGGTTCTCCGCGAAAAACAGCTATCATCTCGCATACGGCACGACACGGTGGAATCGCCGGGGGATATTAATGGATATGGTGTGCTCGATTTATGCAAAAGTTGGGACATTTTCGGCGTGTACCTTTATACGTATACGTGAATTTTTGAATTTTTCGACAAATTTCTTATTGATTTTATTGTTGAAAATTTAAGTACAGCCTGCATTTAACATCAAAGATTAGAATTTAGCGTAATATCGAAAAATTTAATTAAAAATTAATATTAAATGGAGATTTAATCTTAATTAAGCTTGATACGTATATAATATCGTATGTAATATTTTTCTGTATATATACCTTTCTGGAGATTTTCTACGTAGGCAGTTTTGTAAGGGGAAACGCGACGTATGCACAACCGACGAATATTGGCGTTCGAGGTTTTCCACGACGCAGCTTTTCCTCTCAAGGACTCGATTACAGGCGAACAATTTTATTTGGGTACCACGAGCGCTTTTTCATATCAAGGTTTCCGGTTTTTTTTTTGTCATGGCTACCCGACGGTTACTGCAACTTGTTATATCGCGCGGCGCTTTCACGACGTCGGTCGCTTTCACCGCGGAATTTAAAGATCTTTTTAGTTCTCCTCGCGCAACTTATAAGCGTTTGATCGATTCCGAGTAGACGTTAGATTTGCAGCTTTGATGCAGGACGATATCAAAATATATACGCTCCGTATTTTGCCTCGCTTTGAGATATCGCATAGGCGGGTAAATATCCAATACCGGGAAACGTCAAAAGCGTGAGTAATCTTCCGGCAATTAAAGCAAATATTATATATAGACTGATTGCCGATTGCGTGGGCAAAAAAAAATGGAAAGGAGTGATATTTATCTCATGTCGTATCGTCTTTGTCGTGTATAAAAAGAACGGAGTACATCGTTGAACTTATAACCAGAGGAGGAGGGCGCGAAAGAGAGAGTAGTCTCTGAATAATATCCGAAGTCAGACAGGGATCGTTTTCCGAGTAACTAATTCTGACATCCGAAGCGCGACATAAATTATTTTCTTACTAACTAATGCAGCGAATAATTAAGACGATAATAAAGTTCAATTAAAATTTGAGATAACATCTGCCAGAGCCTCTTCCCCCTCTACAAGCTATGGGAACTGAAGGCAGAACTTGGAAATGGAAAGCTAATTTCATTTCAGAGAGCTGATCTCGCTGTCGTAATATTTGCGCGGGGAAGAAAAAAAAAGATTTTTACGACTCTCGAAGCACAAAACGAGTTTAAACCGCAACTCGTGACAAGTCATTACCATTGCATTTTCTGCTTCCCCCCCCCCCCACTTCCCCCGGCATTATGCATCATAAATGAACATGAAAATTAAGACGTGTCTTTCATCGTCGTATACAACAAGCAAGACGGCATAACCAAGAATTAGAGACATCTCGTACTGCCTTGTGCGGAATTCATGCTACATTTGATGAAAGTGAAAAGAGGAGCAAAAAACAACATAACGCAGCATAATCCAATATAAATAGAAATGTCGTATATCGCTTATTTATTACAACGACTGCACAACTCAAAAAACGAAGTTTTCCAGAAAATAAATTTGAATATTTTGAATCATTAAAATTTTCTGCGTAATAATAATTTTGTACGTAATATTGCGTTTGTAATGTTAATAAAATTGTAATATTAATTTTGAAATGCAATTTTCATGTAATAACTGATTATAAAAGGAATAAAATTATGTACTTTTAAAGTTTTTTTTTTCTTTATGTTCTCGTATTTATTTACGTAAAAAATTCTTGTGTGCTGCAATTGCATACATCAAATAACAATTTCAAATTCGCTAATATAATCTATCCCTAAATTAAATATTTTATTTCCCCCTTAAACGTTAGATAATGTCAATTAAAAACCATCTGACTTTATCCTCGTATAAGTACTTATGGTTAATTCATCCATCTCGTGGAAAGATGGATGGAGAGGAGATGTTAAAAAAGTGCTATGTAAAATATTTGAATCTATCGAATACCTGATAAAAGAGCGCGCATCAGAAAATCGCTGGAGAGCTTCATCTATTTCACCAGATATTCTAGGAGTTCCCGATACACCCCGACATTTTAAACGCTCAACATCTTTTTCCTCTCGTTTTACGTGACAATACAGGTGGATTCTAGGATCTAGTCGGCTTCCAAACAACACCGGAGATTTACAATGTTGGTTCAACGTTTACCTGCAGCGTCGTATGTTTAGAAGACAAAGAATAACAGGTAGGAAGATAACAGAAGGAAGAAAAGGGAGGCGAGAAAGACGGAAAGCGGGAGATAAGACCATCCAACAACATTGTTTCTTCCCATGGAACATCCTTGTCGTTTTAAAGCCAGCTTCGCCCGGCGCGCAGGGGAGGGGGGAGAAAGCTTCCGCTTTGACGGTTTCCTTATTGATCGCACAAATTGTATTCCACCGAACCTAAGGGATTGCAATATTGGCGCGACGCGATTGCCGATGATATTGTCGAGGACGACGCGAGAAATTGGAAGCGGAGAACCGGCGCGGAATTCGCGAGGGCGAAGAGAGAGCGTCTAAATAAACTCCCTCTCGTTGCAACGCGTCTTCTTCGCCGAATAATGAAATAACACTTCGCCGTGTGTTACTTTTTTCTCTCTTGAGTCAACCCTTTCTTAAGCGGGATAAATCGAAATACATATGTTGCCCGAAATATATCTTTTATGTATATTGTGCCATGTAACACGCGGACGACGTGTAGAATAAAGATGTACTACGTTATCTGTTCCGAAGTCGTGAGATTTACCGTTTTTCTTTAAAAAAAAACCTCGGAATCTCTTCTCTCGAAAAAGCTGCCTAATATGACACTGGGGGGTATTATTCGCTCAAGAAGAGTCTCAATTTGCCCAGCGCGAACCCTCCGTAAGAGAGGTCGCGGTATGAAATAGCTGCACGCGCCGCGGCGTCTTAAAAATCGAGGAAAATACTTCACGCGCAATCGATACGCTGCCACGCTCAGCGGCTTGCAAGATGCAAATGGACCACTTTCACGTGTCATCGCTTATAAATCTCTCCCTTCTCCGCGCGCAGATTCTTCGCCGGAAACGCGGAGCGGAGGGTAGTAAACGATGGATACGACGTCGAACGCAGTCGGAGGCGAACGGGGGAACGGCGCAGTGCGCCAAAAAAGAGACAAATAAAGAAAAAAAAAACAACGCACGGGGGAAACGCCATGCGGACAAACAATGTGGTCTTATCCAGCGGAAAATTTCCGCGGCTCACAGCTGTACGAGCATATATGGGAAGGACCTCTTCTTATACGTCTCGTCTGGCAAAGGTATACCGGCGCGCGCGCGCCTCGGGATCGGCCATTTGCCAGACGAGATTGAAGATTTGCGCCGTTGGTCCGCCGGTTATTATCGCCGAAGCGTATATATACAGATGAAGGGAAAAAAGGATCGGGATGTGAGGGGAGGGATAAAAACGGGCGGAGAAGTTGAGGTAAGACAAAAAAGAAAAAGGTAGTTTGACGAAGATGGAGAGGTGAGGAAGCAAGGAGGGAAGAACGAGAGAATCGCACTGGTTTACCGTAGTGGATCCCGGATGATTCTCTCCCTCGCCTGGAAAAGGAAGAATCGAAAGAGAGAGAGAGAGAGAGAGAGAGAGAGAGAGAGAGAAGGAGCGAAATGGAGGGAAAGGACGACAATATTGTGACGCGGGACGCAAACTTGGTCGGAACTTTGATGGACGATCCGACGGCGATGAAGCTGGACCGCCGTACTTCCATGAACTGTGGAAGAAGATACGATCGCGAAGCTTCGCGCGAAGTCCTTTCGAACTGAGTGAGTTG